TGGACACAATATCTTTATTTTATTTTTATGTGGTGCTGATGATCGAACCCAGAGCCCCACAGGTGCTAGGTGAGCGAGCACTCTACTGCTGAGCCACAACCCTAGCCCTTTTTTTTTTTTTTTTTTTTTTTTAGTTGTAATTGTAGTTGGACTCAATACCTTTTATTTATAAGTGGTGCTGAGGCTCAAATCCAGCGCCTTGCACGTGCTAGGCAAGCGCTGTACTGCTGAACCACAACCCCAGCCCATGATATTCAGTTCTTTTCATAAGTGCACAGTACTTGCATCTGACCTATATACATCATCCCATATACTTTAATCTGTAAGTTGCATATGATACCTAAAACAATGTAAATGCTAAGTAAATAGTTGTTATACCATATTGTTGGGGAATAATGACACAAAAAAAAAAAAAAAACATTCTGCACATATTCAGTACAGATGCATTTTTTTTTTTTTGGGTCACCCCTAAATATTTTTGATCTAAGGTTGGTTGACTCCACGGTTGGTTGACTCCACAGCTGGTTAATTCTGTGTATGTGGAACCTTGCAAATATGTAGGGGGCTGACTGCATATTATACATACATTGATATTTGTACCTATATAGAAATTATAGTTTTGGTTATAGCAAGGAGGGTACCTCTTAATGTTAACTTTGTTCCTTATTTTGACAAAACCATATGGTGGCAGTAAGCATGGTGTAGAATGACAAAGAAGCCTGAGATTTTTATTCAGACATTTGAACTCTCATATATCTTAGGCATAGTTATTCTGAGAAGTATACCACTTTAGATATAGTATAGAACTAGAGAAACATGTATATCTTACTATAATTTTAATATTAAGAAGTGGTGACCGTGTTTAATATAACTAACATTTCCCTTAATATTCACACACTCTAGATTATATTTGCTATCTTACAAATAAAGGAAACTGATGCCCAGATAATTTAAATACGTGAAAGTCTTCATTTTACAAACAATAAACAGATACTTAAGGAACTTAATAGTTGAAAAAATAAGTCATGACTCTACCCTGGTCTTCTTCCAAAACCAGTGCTCTAGTTTGCTGTATTGTTTTTTATATATATATATATATTTTTACTATTTTGCCTTCCTAAATTATAATAATCTTTCTTCTTGATTATATACATTCATGCAAACTCTCAAGACATTTGGATATCCTTTATTTTTAGTTTTTATAAGAGTAACTGTCTTTCCACTTAAAATTTCTCATGCTTCAAATTTTAGTATTTCACTCTTCCAGAGAAAGTAAAATACTGTCTTATATTTTTTAAGATTTAGTTTTGAGAAGTTAAACTCTAATCCATTCCCAAATATAGACCAAGAAGAGTCTCTCAGTTTTCCATGGGTTATTTTAATGACACTTAAGAAATAAATTTTTCATTCTTCATTGCCCTGTGATGATACATTTCTTACCTAGAATACTTTTGAACTTTTTGTCACCTTTTCACTCTCGTTCAAATTTCTATTCATCCTTCAGAGGCCATTTCAGACACCAGCGCTTCAGAAAATCTTTCCTAATACCTACTTTCTATGTTCTACTCTTAACTGGAAATACTAATTGCCACAGTAAGTCAGTCTAGGCACTTCTTAAGAACATATTGCTTTTCATCAGGGTATCTCCTGGGTTATCTGTGTTGGTATTAGGTATACAGTAAATTTTGATAAACATTTGTTTTCTTTTTATGTACATTTGGACCTTTTCTGATTTCATATATTAAGAATTGCCTTAGCATATTTCTATCAAAGATGGCCACAGCCAACCCTATATGCATTTAACTTTGCAACTTTCTCCAAATGATTGTGTATACCAGTTTCACACTTTTTTTTTTTCTTTTTTTTGTTAATGAGGACCAGTCCTCCTCATCTATTCTGCTTTTTAGAAAAATTTTGGCCAAATGAATATTGAATACCTTTTTAAAAGTTCTTAAATTAAAACACACATATATTTGTTAGAAGTAAATAATGTTCTCTATGTATGTGTGTGGCGTTGCTAGGCAAGTACTGTACCACTGAGTTATGTCCCCAGCCAATAATGCACTTTTATAATTTTATATAATTTTATTGTTTGATGAGGAAACATGGTCAGTAGGCCTGTTAATTCAAGTGTTATTTTCCATTACTAAGGTGGTTTTTAAGATTGTTTTGTGAGGTTGGTGTGATCTTGAGTTCAAGGCCAGCCCGGTCAACACAGTGAGACCCTGTCCCACAAAACAAAATAAAAATGATTGTTTTCTGTATGTCAAGGGGACCTTAAACAATTGAATTTCATTCAATTGTATCATATACCCAAATGGAGTACAGCCTAGGTTGCACAAACCAGTTAAGTTTTATGTAACATCACTTGCTAGCAATCGGCAGAGGTAACTCAGAGCTCTAAATTTGTAGCTCTATGCCTTATCTTTTGCTGGAGGCGAAGAAATTTTAACATGTAAAAAACCTTTAGACTTGGCTGGGATTGTGGCTTAGCAGTAGAGCACTCGCCTAGCACGGGTCGGGACCTGGGTTCGATCCTCATCACCACATAAAAATAAAAGGCACTGTGTTGTGTCCATCTACACCTAAAGAATAAATATAAAAAAACCCCTCTAGACTTGTAGTCGGATGGTGCCTGGATTTTCCAACTTAAATGTTAACTTTATATTATATTTTATTTCTAAGGATGAATATAATTAGTTATTTAATAAGTCTTGGTTTATTAAGAATTAGGATAAATTGAATTTCACCATGGCTTTATTCAGATGACACTTCCATTTGTAGACGTGGCCAGCCAAGCCTTTTTATTTATTTCTGGATGACTGTAGAGGGTCTTAGGGAAAGAAGTTTTGCTTTGGCAAAAAAAAAAAGATTCATCCAATTTGTAATCACATTGATGGAAGAGAAGCTTTTGAGAAAAGCCACAGTGGTAAGGCTTTGAACATAAATAGCTTCCACTCATACTGTAACTGATAGACATGAATTAATATATAATAAATTGTAGACAAAATGAAATTTAGAGCAGAAGTTTCAGATGGATGGTTCATTCACAGACTGTTTTATTTGACCTGTTTCTTAAACTTATTTCATTAGTTGGCTATGTCTAAAATCTAAAATGAATGTCTAGCACTGGATCCCCTGCATTTTCTGCATGGGATAATAATAGCAATGACACTGTGCCAATATGTGTGCATGAAACACACAAATATTGATTGCCTTAGTTAGCATTTCTATCAAAGATGGCCCCAGCCAACCCTATATGCATTTAACTTTGCAACTTACGTCCTAGAGCCTCTTGAACACAGAAGTAGTATATCTTAATGCTGCTCATCCAGCTGAATCTTCAGCTTTGAGTTAATCAGAGATAATAGGTGGGAGGATTTTAGTGAGAGAGTAGGTGGAATATTGAGTGTACAAAAGAGAGTAGTGGAAGAGGGCACCAAAGTTTTCAACCTAAGCAACGGAAAGGAAAATGTTATCACTTGAGAGAGGGGAGGTTATCTGTAGATCAGATTTTAGGAGGGAAGTTGAGAAATTCAGTCTTGGACATGTTAAGTTTGAACATCTCATTAGAGATGCCGAATAGACAGTGGCTGTGTGAGTGTGAAGTAGGAGAGAACTGTCTAGACTTCACATGAAGTGCCTCCTGGCAGAAGCCATTTCCTTCTCCCCCAGAATCAGAATGTTTTAATCTAGAGGAGCCTAAATTTTGCCAATTCTACTTCCATCTGTTGTTGTTTCTTAAAAACTATAAGAGCATCACCAACAGTTCAGCTTTTGTTGTTGTTGTTTGTTTGTTTTGTGGTGCTGGGTATTGAACCCAGGGCATTGAACATGCAGGGCAAGCACCCTACCAACTGAGCTATATCCCCCACCCAGCTCAGCTTTTAGAAGACTAATAAGATCATTTACCATCTTAGAAGATAGTGTCCCCTCAAGATGTTACCTAACATATGAAAAATGTGTGTTTTGAGTTATAAAATACACAATTAGGAAAAGGTGGCTAGTTACATTATTTAGATGTCTCTCTCTCTCTCTCTCTCTCTCTCTCTCTCTATATATATATATATATATATATATATATATAAAATAAGCTAGTTTGTTATGGTGGCTAGACTTGCTCTTGGTTGCAAAGGTATTTAAAACAAAAACAAAAAACCCCTCATTGTAAAGATTTCATTTTGCCTAAAATAATTTTAGGCTTTGAGGTGGTAAAATCAATCCTAGAGAGGAATTTGGGATTTACTTGAAGTTTTGCCAAATATGCCTCTGGTAAATAAATATATCAGATGATTTTCATCGAGTAAGGATTTATTACCTGTGATAAAACTGGTTTCTAATACATCAACACTAATATGAATTTAACCTGTGCCAAGAATGTATAAACATGACTTTTCTGATAATTTTAGGCCCATTTTCAAGAATAAAAAGGAATTACTAGTTCTTGTATTATCCCTTATTTCATAAATTGAGAATTATGTCTTTTTCTTGGTACACCTATTGGTCTTTGTGCATCGTGCAAGGATGGCATCTAGGTTGTCTTGTCATTTGTTTGTGTTTTTCCGAGACTTAACATGGTACCTTTCTCTCTCTCTCTCTCTCTCTTTTTTTTTTTTTTGCAGCACTGGGGGATCAAACCCAGGGCCTCACACATGCCAGGCCAGTGTTCTACCACTGAGCTGCATTCCCAACCCTTTTTAATTTTGCTTTGAGGCAGAGGATCTTGATAAGTTTCCCAGGTTAGCCTTGAACTTGTGATCCTCCTGCCTCAGCCTCCCGAGTAGCTAGGATTATAGGTGGTACCAGAACACGTGGGAACATTTTACTCTTAGTAGGTCATCTGTGAACAGTGGCTGAGTTACTCTAAGGAAATAAATATGTATGTATAGAACATGCATATTATAGCATTCATGAGCTATATTTCTAACATTTGCTATATAACTCATTTAAAAGTATAATAATGTTTTAGACTTTCTTCCTTTTTTTCTTTCTTTAAACAGAAAGAAGGACAACAACAGAATCACCAGCACTGGCTGAAGGTAAATATGTCTTTGGGTGAAATGATTATCCAGATATAAATGTAAAATTATGACTTAAGTAAAAACCTACATTGATTAGATAAAATTTAAGGAAAATGTATATTCAAATACTAAAATTGTCATTAAGAAATACTCTGTTATTTCTGACTTAAAAAAGGAAGTAGTGGGGGAAATTAAATTAATTTGAACTCTTTTCCTTACAGCTCTCTTTCAATAGGAGAGGTATGTGTTTTCTTTGAATTCCCTTGTAAGTCATTTTAGCTATCACCTCAATAGTTCATCAATAAAGGTTAAGCTCTAGTTTTCATACTTTTAAAAATGTGTGTATTTAAATTCCCCAACCCCATTGGAAACTAGAAATGAAGACACTTTTACACATCATTTTAAAGAATTCTATTATTGGTTTTGGTCCTTATAAGTAAAGGTTACTAAACAGTGTATGTAGTTACTATTAAAGCTTCCTGAGTACCTAAATACTTACAATCCTGCACTTATTTTTCTGCTCCAATTATTTTTCTTAAAACATGTTAATAGGTATTCAAAAATGTATATATTTTTTAATAGCTGTACTTTGTGTTCTTCAGGTAAAAACAATCAGTTTAAAAATGTCTTCCTGTGTTCTTCTAGTCAGAAATGGGATATATATTTATAGGGATATATATATTTTAAAACCAGCCTGTCGTTTTGTTAGAGCTGATAGGATAGTTAATTATGATGGTCCTTGAAAGTTGTCACTGCTTTACCTACTCTGTGTGCCACAGCACTTAACCAGTTTTGGTGCCAAGGAGCTCTTTGGTGAGGACCTAGTCTGGAGAATCCTGTGAATTATGCCCAAGAATGATGATTCACGATTATATGAAATAAAATACAGAGGATTAAAAAGGAAACCAATTAGCTTAAAGCACCATTAACACATATTCAAAATATAAATTTGTGGTTGATAATGTATGTTTGTTACATTAGAGTATAAGCTTTAGGAAGGATTTTGCTACTCACTGTAATTTTAAATCGTGATGAGCCTGCAATATTTGTAATATAATATGAAAATACCTATAATTTCCATTAAATGACAAGTGCATAGATACTTAAAATATTACTGTGGTTTGTTGACCATAACTTGATGAAGGAACTGCTAGTTTTCATAGAGGTTAGTAAAAAGCTTTTCATTCAGATTTACATCATTTTATTATTACTGTGACCCCCTGATTAAAAGCCTCAGACTGAGAACCTTTGTTAGTGAAAAGTCAGCTTGACTTTACTTTCTCTCTTATACTTGAGTAAGTGTAGTTATTTTTGTCGTATATAACTATCTTAAAGAAGTAGTTACACATCTATTCCTTAAAAATATCCTAATTGGCCAGGCATGGTAGTGCACATCTGAAATCCCAGCTACTTGGGAGGCTGAGGTAGGAGGATCACAAGTTTGAGGCCAACCTGGATAACTGTCTCAAAAAAATTTGTAAGAGGCCTGGGTGTATAGCTCAGTGATAGAATGTTTGCCTAACATATGTAAGGTTCTAGGTTCAATTCTAGTCCCCTTGCCCCCCCCCCCCAAATCCTATGGTGTAGTGTAGAAGTTTGTGAAATAGCTTTGGAAGTGCTCTGTGTGCTTTTCAATAATAAGAAAAACAATATATATATATGAAAAGGGAATAGTAAGTAGGGATTAAGCCTTAGAGAATACCTGCCTTCAAATATTCTGGTACAAGGAACATGAAGTAATAAACAAGTTTGTGTATTGTGTGTACACGTATATGCATATGTATATATGTGTGTGTTTATCAATGTGAGATGTTAAAAGTTTTTGACAAGAGAATTGCCATTGGAAGTCTGCAGACAGTAAGTGCTCTGATGCTTCTGGTCTGGAAGCACATAAAAAGGTAACATCTTGCAGAAAGTACCCAGATGTTTTGCAGTTCCTTCAGTGGTATGAAACTATTAGAGTGATAATGCATCTAGAAAGAGCCTAGGATGATGTCACTAAATTCCAGTGCTTGTCTAACACCTGGTAGCTGATTGCTGTAAATTTAGGGAATGGCAGGTCTATTGAAATTTGGTTGATAGCAAAAACAGCATTCACTTTGGTTTTGGAAAGGACATGATAAGGTATTTAAATCAATGTGATTTGGCTTGATGCCATATTTTAAAGATGTTCTCAAAAACTGCTCTGCCAGGGTTTTTAAATTAAGCCCCACTATTTCACTCATCATCTGCTTTTGTCTAAGTCACCAGATTTCACTTCAGGAGTTGGGGGGTACATGATTTATTTTGTGCTCCTGTTTTCTGGCCTTTACCATACCTTCACTTCCTTTTCTCTTCCTCTTTCTTCCTCAGCAACTTTGAACAAATGGTAAAAACATTGAGGGTAGTTTAGTGATTTGAGTTAGGCATGGTGGTGCATTCCTATAATCTTAGCTACATGGGGGAGGAGGCAGGAGGATTCCAAATTCAGGGTGGGCCTTGGCAACTTAGCAAGATCCTACTTCAAAATAGAAAACAAAAAGGGCTAAGAATGTAGTTCAGTTATACAGTGTCCCAGGGTTCAACCTCCAGTACTGAGGAGAGAAAATTAGTTTATTGATTTGAACTTGAATGTATATAAATAATTCTTGTTTGAAAAATATATGAAAATGTAAAAGCTGTAGTAATTAGATATTGTATTTAGTTAAAAAGTTTGACACACACATATTGTTTTTTATCTTCATTATTTGAATTCATTTAAAATTATCCCCAGCACCATAAAACAAGTAGAATAAAGTGATATTAGTGTATTCCTTTCTTATTGCTAAGAAAATAACTTTTTGTAAAACAGCTCTTTTGCTTTTTGTTAATTTTAAATGAAGTTTTATTATTTAGTCAATGTTACCAGACCTTGTCATTTGAATAACTATGGAATATTCTTTTTGAATTTACTCAGGAATTTTGTCTCATCTTCAGTTGAAATAAAATAATATTTTTTAAAAGAATATAAAGAAAATTCATACATTCGGCTGTAATTAGTACCTCCTTGGCAAGATGGGAAGGTAATTCAATGGTAAAGAATATGGTGGGAAAATATTGTTGTCTAGGTACACTTTAATATCTTAGCAATAAACATTTGCCTGGTTACCTTGTTCTTGATTTTCTTAACCTTTGTGGAACTTGAATTATTTCTTAGTAGGTAACACAGTCTATATCCTTACTCCTTAATTTATAAAGCTGCATTTGTTTCATTTGTTTTAAAGTCACTCCTTTTATAGGATGTTTTTAATTTAGGTATTCTCTTTTTAAAAGAATAAACTTTTTTGCTTGATTTGTTAATTTATTCATTCAGTAAAATCTTCATCAAGACTGGCTGTGTGACAGAATGTCTGCTAGAGGCCAAAGTTTCAAAGATGAAAAAGATGTAGACATTTTTAAAGATTTAGAAGAACTTTTCTAGAAAACTTATCAAGGAACTGTTACTCTACTATTCACAAACTGTTCCAAAGAATATAAAAAGTATATACATATATGCTTTGATAGCCGAACCAGAGGGAAAAATTATAGGTCAGTCTCAGTTGTGAAATAATCCACAATGAAATATTGGCAAACCAAATCTAGAAATATATATTTTTTAAATGACCAAATAGGTCCCAGGATTACAAGGATGGTTCAGTAATCAAAAATGAGTTCATGTAATTTACCATATTAATAGATTAAATGATAGAATGGGTAGTGTTAAAAGATGGCAGTTCTGTCTCAGAATGATATGCATATTTAATGCTAATCAAATAAAAATCCCACCAGGATTTTTTATAGAAGTTGACAGTCACATGGATGATAAAAAGTCAAGAATAGCCAAGGCAGTTTTAAAGAATTAGTACTTTAATAAGCACAGACCACCAAGAAAAGAAGAAGAATTAGACTATATCACATGTAAACAATGATGTGAGACTAAGGGAAGGAAGCATTTGCCTTGTGCATAAGCATCAAAAGATATGTAGGAAAGAAAAGGGTGGTAAATCAGTCAGAGTTGAGTTCAGAAAACAGAACCACTCTGGGAATGTCAAAAGAATTTAACATAGAAGATTGGTTACAAAAGTATTTAAAAGACTGGAAGAGTCAAAGGGAGAAGTACTATGCTGGAATCCATAGGTTGTTCTTGCCTCTGATTAGGGAATTGGATATTGGTATCACCCTATTCACATTGCTTTAGCAACTGCCAGCCTATTCTGACCAGAAACTTGTCAGATTGAGACAGCCTAACAGGAACTCAGCTGGCAAGGATGTCTGGAAAATGTTTATGGATTGTGAGTCCCAGTTATACAGAGTAGCGGCAGTATAGTGCCAGTATAGCACCAGTTCTCAGGCATAGCAATACAGAAAGGTAGACATGGGGCTGAGAGATAGTAGGAAAACAGTTGGCAAAGGGAATAAATATGCAATTTACAGATGGCCTGTATACATATAAATAAGAATGTGCACAGTTTTAAAGGTAATGAAGCAAATGTAGATTAAAACAGTGAGATATTTCACAGTCTGTAAATTAAAGCTTGAGGCTTTATGCATGGGAAAGAGGAAGTATTTTACCAGTGGAACAATGAATTTATAGAAGTAGTTTGAAGAGCAGTATAGCCCCACCCAGTAAATTTGCAGCTACCTTTTCATTTTATAAAGACTCTTGTATGTGGGGCACAAGTGTATGTGGCAGGTGTATGGATGTATTAGACATAATTTGTTAAGAGTAAAAGTGGAAATAACCTCACTATCAGTAGGGAGAATGAACAAATGATTTTTTTTTGAATAATGGAATTGTAAATAATGGCTAAAATGAACAAACATCATAATTCTCAAAAAAATCATTGAGAAAATCCAGTTTTTAGAAAATTAAATACAGTGTTTCATTTATGCAAATTGAAAGCCAGACCAATATGGTGTTATTTAAAAAATACACATAACTTTGTTCTAAAAAATCTTAAAATGTTGGAAGCACACTTTTAAGATACTGATTTCCTTAAGATAGCGAGAAAAGTTAGTTG